TACAAGTATCAAAAGTTCAAAGAACAAGCGAATATTGATTATCTCCTTTTATTTTATTAGAGAGAAGTAAATATGCAAGGTAAATTTCCAATTCGTCGACAAATGGGGCACTTCAAGGAATATACATCAAAGAATTTCCAAGGTAGGAGAGGCGGTGTGAGAGTGAGTGTCGACGAAACCGGACTGAATCAATATACAATACTTCATTTTTCAAAAGATTTATATATCAATTACTAAAATTCGAAATAGAAATTTTCGTAGAGGGGGCCCAACTTTTCGTAGAGGCAACTGAGCCCCCTCCAGCCCCCCTCTGGATACGCCACTACGCTCCACATTTCCAGTTTCTTATGCCCCAGACATGTCAGTTAAAGCAGCCTCACCCACGATGTGTTGTTTGCGCATTGCATAACATACGCCGTGATGCAAGATATTATTGTCGTGACTGCCATCCACCTCTATGTATTGTTGAATGTTTAAAAGATTATCATACCTAAATAAACTGCTGATGGTTTTCCCAGACGCAATTGTTGCTGTTTCGTGAGGAAATAGCAACTACCTCGAAAGATTCTCTGTAAACATTTCGATTTCTCATTAAAAAACCCAGGACTGAAAAGATTAATCGTTATCTTTATATTTATTTGTAAAGTATAATATACTACATGAAAAATTTATCCTATTTGTTTCATTTCCATGGAAAATTGATTCCTTCAGGATCCAGATGTAGAATTTGATCTTTCGCACTAGTGCAAATAATTTTTCCTGAATCTCCATCAATTAAAATTAATTTTGGAATTTCATTGACATCAAATTTCTTTGATAAAACTTCTTTTTTCTTCGTTCTTTCAAATCTGATGCTAGCCAAGGCATATTTTTATAATAATCATTAAATGATTTTTCATCACTATCCGAACTTATAAAAATAATTTTAAATCTTTTTCCTCGATGATATTCTGTATAACTTTCACTTAATAATGGAGTGAAAACACGACGTGGTGGACACCTAATAAAAACAAATTTTAATAGTATTTAATAAAAAGAACATAAATTTTACATACCAATGAGAACTAAAATAAAGACCAAATATTTTCCGTTTGTATTTTTCTTCATTAAGGTCAACTTCTTTATTTGATCTCTTGATAATATGTCCATTGAATGATTTTGCGATACCAGCCATAAGCTCAATCTCTGTCTATGTGTACCCACGAGAGAGAAAAGTATAGTAATAATTTGTCTCTTGATTTTTGACTGTGCACGATCGCCTTTTCTTTCTCGTCTACTACCTTGATAGTGGCAGAAAAGAAAAAGAAAAACATTGATGTATCTATATGGGTGATTCCGCCGTATATGTGCCACGTTTACATCGACCTCTTCAGAATCGCTTCTGATGATGTTATTCGTGTAGAGCACATACGATAACCTCACTTTTATCATAAGAGTTCGGTCACTACTTCCTTCTACGAAAAAGCACTGATGCGACAAGAAGCAATATGTTTCGAAGCATGCCAATCGATCTCCGAACGTTAGCTCAGCAGTGTTTTCTCTGCACGACGGAGCTGTTTCTGACGAACTCCGTAGTTCTACACGAATAACATCATCAGAAGCGATTCTGAAGAGGTGGATGTAAACGTGGCACATATACGGCGGAATCACCCCGAAACGGATCTTATTGAGATATTGAGAAGTAATCGTGTCGGATCAGGGAACGAAGTTCGTCAGAAACAGCTGCGTCGTGATGAAGTGTACGGACGCCAGAATGGAGACAGTATGAAGCTAATCAAATAGAAAGATAAATGAGACGTTTTGATGATATCCACACGGCTGTCGCACTCAGCAACTCTGGTGAGCACCAGGAAAACTAATATTCGGATGAGCACATGATGAAACCGTAAGTTGTGCTGGATGACAACAAAGGAAGACAAGGTCTTCATTTATCTGATCAGCGATCGGCATACTATTCATTTCTCAGACGCTCAATAAAATGATATCGAAAGATGACATTTAAGTTGATTTTTGGGACAGCAAAAGTAACTAGCTAGTTGATATACAAAGAAAACTGTGCCGCAAAGGACATGACCATTCTCTACTATTTTGTGAAAGTCTTGTGCGATCTTTACTACTTGGTATGCCTTCCGAGAAACTGAAACCTGGTCCGAGACAAAAATCAACAAGCCAAACGAGGGGCAAACTCGCTGATCACAAGCTAGAAGAAAAGGAAGGATCTGGGCGCAATGTCCGACGGCGCTGTTCTGCCTGCTACGAGAACATTAGGCAACAACAATTATCAAGAGGAGCGAGTCATGCGGATGCGAAGAAAATAAAAACTATCTGTCCTAATTGTGAGAAAGTTCTTTGTGGTGAACCTTTTGATGAGAAGCAGCACACTTTGCAATAAATGATCAAATAGTAGGAGAGATAAAGCAGATGACACATTATGTGAGATCTTGGACTAAGAAAGAAAAAGAAAACAGTTTTTCTCGAATGAGTTTCTAGTAAAAATAAAGTTGGATCCACTGGTGGCTCTCATCGTGCCGAATGTTTTAACTAATTTCGAATATAGACGCCTAAGAACTGTTGGATCTGTTGTTACGCAATCAACTATAGTTTTTGTTTAGTAAGGTTATATAAATGTCAGTAAAACTAATTCCTGATGAACTTTAAAAGCAAATAACTTCCGATAAATTCCTATAAATGCAAAATAAATTTTCTTACAAAAAAGTTTTATTAGTTTCGATAGTATAGGAAACAGTAACCTTTCAGTCTTGTATTTCTAGTATCTAAAAGCTCATTGGAACCAGCGTGAAGAATTTGTGTTTCAATTATTGTGGAGAGTAGCTAGAGAATCTCTTGAAAAGAATAAAAACTTTAATTTTTGTCTATGTAGGAATACGTACAAAATAAACTGTATTACAGACATTTTGAGACACCCGAAATGGTAATTATTTCCTGCACCATTTTTATTTCGTTGTTTCTAGAGTAGGTTTATTGTTATTGTCTCTTTCTTTTTCCATAAATATTGATCTCCATAAACGCGCGAATCCAAGTTTACTATTCGCTATTTCAACTAATCACTCTGACCCCGTGAACTTCCTTTTTTTGATATTGTGCGCAGCGACACATTTCCAGTCACCATGAATATCTCTACTGTATCTAGGCGTAATTCGACTTTTTTGAAAACACGAGAATGCCGACCAAAGAATGAACGATACCTCGATTTGCCATTATCATATTCAAAACGACAGATTGTTTTCAATGTGCTTACTTTCTTTCTATCATCAACTTTGATTTTGCGTGCTTTCTTACCTTCCTTTATTATATGTGAGCGACCATTGATGTCGTTTCGATTGACGTTGAGTGTAATGTAACTATGCACACAACTGTGGATAAAATAGTTTATTTGTAATGGAAAAAGACACGAAAAATTTAGAAAGCGCAAGAAAATAAGGAGAGAAAAAGAAGCGTTGGTGAATGGCTTTGCCACTTTGTGATGTGCTTGGGTGTTTGACATCTGATAGGCTAGCCATAGTTCCTAAAAAAACCCATGAGAAACGATCAGCCACCATAGAGATAGACTACTGCTAATAAAATATCATCGATGTTTTATCTATTTTATCACAAGATCTTTCTGATCTCGAGGAAATACGTTCACCATTTTCAATCAACACGAAAAAACTAAAAAACCGTCTTGCACAAACAAAATACCTCATACACTTCGAAAGTGGACTAAGCGCTGATGATCGACAGAAACACTCACATCAAACATGAAACGGTTAAGTAAAAATTTATGAAGCACCCACGATGTAAGTATTACCTTAACATACACCAAGCGCTTTGATCACACCAGCGCAGCATACATTGGTTAGTAAAGAATAGCCTTGACCACTACAGCATGCATTGCCACTTGTAATAACGCCACTACAACATACGCTCGTTGATGCAGAGTAACCTTGACTACCACAGCATGCATTGCCACTTGTAATAACACCATCGCAGCATGTACTGACTAAAGGAGAGTAGCCTTCACCACCACAGCATTCATTGCCTGGTTTAATAACACCTCCGCAGCATACACTGGATAATGTAGAGAAGTTTTGACCGCCACAGCATCCATTCCCGGGTTGAATAACACCACTGCAGCATACACTGGTGGATAGAGAAAAGTCTTCACTACCACAGCATGCATTGCCAGGTTGAATAACACCACTACAGCACACACTGGTTGATGCAGAGTAACCCTCACCACCACAGCATGCATCGCCATTTTTGATAACACCATTGCAACATACACTGGTTGATGTAGAGTAGCCTTCAGCTCCACAGCATGCATCGCCACTCGTAATAGCACCATTGCAGCATATACTGGTAAATACAGAGTAGCCTTCACTACCACAGCATCTATTTCCAGGTTTGATCACACCATTACAGCAAATGCTAGTTGATGCAGAGTAGCCGTTACTACCGCAACATGCATCGCCACTTTTAATAACACCACTACAGCATACACTGGTTAACGTCGAGTAACCTTGACTACCGCAGCAGGCATTGCCACTTTTAGTCACGCCACTGCAACAAACACCGACTGATGTAGAGAAGCCTTGACCACCACAGCATCCATCGCCAGGTTTAATAACACCGCTGCAGCATGTACTGGTACGTAGAGAGTAGCCTTCAGTACCACAGCATGCATCACCACTTGTAATAGCACCATTGCAGCAGATACTGCTTGATAAAGAGTAGTAGCCTTGACCACCACAGCATCTATCACCATCTTTAACAACACCAGCGCAGCATACACTGGTTGATGTAGTGTAGCCTTCACTACCACAGCATGCATCTCCACTGGTTATAACAGCATTGCAGCAAATACTCGCCGATAGAGAGTAGCCTTTATTGCCACAACATTCATCGCCATTTGTAATAGCACCATTGCAGCATATACTGGTAAATACAGAGTAGCCTTGATCACCACAGCATTTGTTGCCAGGTTGGATAACACCATTGCAGCATACACTGGTTGATGTAGAGTAGCCTTCAGCTCCACAGCATGCGTCGCCACTTTTGATAACACCATTGCAGCATGTACTGGTTTGTAGAGAGTAGCCTTGGTGGCCGCAGCATTCGTCGCCACTTGTGATAACACCATTGCAACAAATACTGGAAAATACTGAGTAGCCTTCACTACCACAGCATCTGTTGCCCGGTTTGATAACACCATTGCAGCATACACTGGTTGCTGTAGAGTAGCCTTTAGTTCCACAGCATGCATCGCCACTCGTAATAGCACCATTGCAGCAGATACTGGTAAGTACAGAGTAACCTTCACTACCACAGCATCTGTTGCCCGGTTTGATAACACCATTGCAGCATACACTAGTTGATGTAGAGTAGCCTTCAGCTCCACAGCATGCATCGCCATTTTTGATAACAGCATTGCAGCATATACTGGTTCGTGGAGAGTAGCCTTTACTGCCACAACATTCATCGCCACTTGTGATAGTACCATTGCAGCAGATACTGGTAAATACAGAGTAACCTTCACCACCACAGCATCTATTTCCTGGTTTTACAACACCACTGCAGCATACACTGGTTGATGTAGAGTAGCCTTCAGCTCCACAGCATGCATCGCCACTTTTGATAACACCATTGCAGCATGTACTGGTAAATACAGAGTAGCCTTCACTACCACAGCATATGTTTCCAGGTTTGACAACACCACTGCAACATACGCTGGTTGATGTTGAGTAGCCTTTACTGCCACAACATTCATCGCCACTTGTGATAGTACCATTGCAGCATATACTGGTAAATACAGAGTAACCTTCACTACCACAGCATCTGTTTCCAGGTTTGACAACACCACTGCAACATACGCTGGTTGATGTTGAGTAGCCTTCGCTACCACAGCATGCATCGCCACTCGTAATAGCACCACTGCAGCATATACTGCTGAAGGTTGAGTAGCCCCGACCACCGCAGCATACGTCACCTTTTCCTGTGGAGTTACTGCATATTACTGCTTCGTTCAATTGTGACTTTGTTGATAGTAAAAGAAAAATCTGAAATACAATCACTTTAGTATTCATGATGTGTGTGTTGAAAATTCGCTTTCGCGTTGGTCTGATAAATGACTATTGACGAAAAAAAATCGGTTTGCGTATGTAGTCATGTGTTTGATAGACGATTTTGTTTGTTACGCATCAGTGATTATCGAAAAACGAAAACTGTGTAAAAACAAAAGGAAAATGAAAAGTAAGAGCTTTTTTTTCTTTGCTTAATATATGTTATGAATCATTAGTACAGAACGTGAAAACATCTTTTGCGAAGAAGGTATCGTTATGGTCTCAGATAGCGTGACGAATGAGTTTCATGGCAAATTAAAGCACGCGAAAAATAACGATTGGGCCTGGGTAAACGGATCTCCCAGTATTTTGGCGATATCTTTTTCAATGCTCATGCAATCAGGCTGCTTTTTCTGTGAAGGACGCGCCGTCTTAAGCTCTTCAGAACTCATGTGTTTCTGTTAACACATTCGACCCGATACAATTTTCCAGGAAAATTTTTTCGACGTTCATTTCCATGGACAGTTGACTTCTAACCAATGCACTTGTTAATCTTTTCGTTATCCTCTGCTGTTTATTTATCGGTCTCTTCTTTATATTACAGCATAATGAGTCATTTAAGGGTGTATGTGTGAGTGGAGCACTCATGATGTTAACATTTCACCTGAGCAACCAGGATCATCAGATGGTACCCGTTTCAAGTAGCTGATGTGACAATAGCGAGTATTTCGTGTTTGTGCGTTATCGTAGGGTTTAGGCGTGTTGATGTGCTTCATTGCTCGTTACTCGGGGGGATGATCTAAACCATACGTTTCTGATAGCGGAAGTTTTCTTTTGGGTAGATGAAAAGTGTAGTTCTCGATTGTTTGATTTATTTAGTAGGAGATGAAGGTGGATTCGCCTTTCTTACAGACTATGACTTAGGTATCGTTCATCGGGGTGTATGGGTTCGGTGTTAGTGTTGAATGGCTTGTTTGAGGCCACATTATGTTTTTTCTTCTGTTTCAGTAAGTGATGTGGAGGTCTTTTCCGAATAAGTTCTCGTTGTAGATTTTGACTGTTTCGATGTCCGACAATCAAGCGGACAGTTTCAATGCCAAGGGTGGCAAAGACCTGACGGAAAATATTGCGCATTTCATGCTTGACGGTTTTGAAACGATTCTCGTGAGTATAGTGGATGATAGTTCTGCCTTTTGAATATCTTGCCGGATTGATTTCTGTTACGACTGAGGAGATGTGCGACGTAGATTCTTTTGGTTCGTGGTCATCGTCGGATTCTTTGAAGAGTGCAATTCGAGCTTCAATCTGGGATTGTCGTGCTGACAACTGTCCCATGAGCCGCTGACGTATGACAGAAAACTGATGTTCATCGATGATCGGTAAAATATATGTGCCGGATACGCAATCATCGAAGATCTTACGAAACCGTTTGTCAATAAAGGTTTGCGGATAACTACAACGAGTGGTGTAAACTCGAGATTCTAAGTCCTGTTACCCACTTACCCATTGTACAGTAGCATCAATTCAATAGTACGCCGTTCAATGTTAAATATTTGGTAGGTCGATGAATAGCGGATTGCTCGAACTAAAGCCGTTTGGATAACATTGGCAAAAGTGTTTCTAGGATGATCCGAAAGAAATGGTAATACATAGGGTTCAGCAGATGGTTTGTGACACACAGATGTATACAAGGACCCTCGATTATTACAAATGAGAACATCCAGAAATGGAACACACATCCCAATATTCCCCTGTGATTTAATGTTATCATCCCAACTATTCGCATCGGTGAGTAATTGTTGCACTGTTTCGGTATGTTCATTCGATGTGAAGAATACATCGTCGATATATCTATGGAAAAGCAAATGTTAAAAGCACGTCTGCTGATAGATGCATGATCAGGTCTTACCGGCCATATATTTCATTGTTGTGATCTTGTCGTCGAATCCATCGCTGTTCTCAATGCCACATGAAAATATTCGCCAGAGTCAATGTAAAGGGTGAATCCATGGCACCTCCAATGATTTGTTTGTAGCATTTATTATTACAAACGAAAGCATTCGCTTTTAATACAATTTCCGCTAATTTTTGAATTGTCGTAACTGAGATATTTCTCACATATTCACCAACATAACAGCGTAGAAACTTGCCCAGAATTTCGATGGACCTATCTTGTGGTAGCATAGTGTAGAGATTAGTGATATCAAAGGTACAAAAAAGAGTCGTCGGTTTAAGATGACCATCAGCAACATATTTTTCCAGACGACGAATGAGATTGACACCATCAATAATTGTGCAATCTTTACTGTGCTGATCATAGATGGGCCGAATGAGTTGATCTAAGAAGTCAGATATGGGCCGTGTGACGGATTGGATTGTATTCAAAATGGGTCGCAGTGGTGTTCCCTCCTAAACAGAGATTTCGAAGCAATACATCGATCCTATGCCTCAATTATTATTACCTTATGCGCCTTGGGATTGAAATACATATATGATAACTTTACAAGAGTCGGGTTCGGCAACAAAAGATTGTAACGGTATTGTGGAGGTTGCTGCTTGTTTTCAAGTCATTGAGGGCGCTTGTCACGTTCGTAATCATGGATTCCAATGGATTATAGGATAACTCTTCGTATGCCTTGGTCGTCCGTTGATATTCGACTGCCTTTCGTTTGTAATCACTTTTTGAACTGATATGCAGGCCTCCGCCTTTATCTCATACACGTAAGATAAGTTTTCCTTTTCTTAATTTCCTTCGGACCGACTGGGTCAAGGCTTGCTCTCCCTGAGCACGCGCCTGATCGACAAATGATAGAGGAGCCATGAAGCGTTAACGCATAAGATTGATCAGAAGCTCCATGTATCGTTCCATCATGGCTTTCAGTAGTTCTCTTTTGCAGTAGTTCTTCAATTGACAGGTGACCTGTTTCTTGATATCCTTACATTCCTTCTGTAGTTGACTTTCTCGATGCTCATATAGGCGGATAGCACTCTGATTTGGTCGAGTATAATTTTTGTCTTGAATTTAGGAAAAGAAGAACTAATTGTCCCGGAAAATAAAGAAACGGACAACCTCACCTATCGAGATATAATTCAATTCGTCGTCAGTAGGTGCATGATGAAGAACATCGATTGTTACTTGTGGAGATACACCAGTCGCTTTCTTTGCCGTTGATGAACGCTGTCGACGTTGAGCAATAATCTGATGAAAATGTGTTATTTTTTGAGAGATTCCCTCTTTGATGCGCTCTGTTCGATAAACCATATAGGCTTTGATGGCATTAACCACAGATTGTCCAGCAATGTTGGTTTGATTACCAGCAAGTTTCAACTCAAGTTCGTTCAAAGCTTGTCAATACTGTTCTTCAGAATGATTTATCTTCGTTTCATAGGCAAATATAGACATGTTTAGCAAATTGCGTTTCGCCTGCTGTAAGATCTTTCGACGTTTTGTCTTCAGTTCCACTAAAGTGCGATCAGCAATGGATGGCCAATAATAATCCGGCGCAATATACGCTTCTGTCTGATTGAAGTGTGTTGGTAAAAATTGGTGACGAATGCGTTCTTTCAACATGATCAATTCTTCATATACTTGCATTTGTGCCTGTCGTAGATCGAAAAGCTGTTCAGGTTGCTCCTTGGGCACTCGTTGTCAAATGATCCATGAACAATTGACGGTGTAGCTTTTGATCACATATTTTCGCTGTGTAGCTAAACAACTGCCTTTCAATGCGTTTCAATAAATAATTCTGTTGTAAATGAACATATTTTCTCAAATAAGCGTCTAAGATCTCTTGTGATGGTAGTGCAGATGATACTGGTGGTGATTGTATGTGTTTAATCAATTCTGCGTTGCACTGATTCAATTCCTGTGTGACTAGCGCTAATTTGTTCTGTACATATTGTCGAGAGCCTTGCGTTTGATCTGTTCCATGAATCAAGCGTAATTGTTGCTACAATCGAATGAACGTATCCGTAGATGAAAATCAAGTGAAGAAAAAAACTTAAGAACTCACTGGCCATATCTGTTCTTGACAGCCAAGATCTAGATAGGATTGCCACAAGTAACGATCAATATCTAGGCGAAATTGACGATCGAAGAGTAGTAATCGTGAGTGAACAAAGGCTTGTTCATTTTTTTCTGTAGTGTGCAGTGAAGCTGATGAGCTACCGCTTGAAAAATGAGATGGCGCGACTGAATCAAGTAAATGGGTGGTCTATGAAATAGAAAAAACGAAGCATCAGACCATTTCGTTTTTTAAAAAGAACTAATGGATAATCTTTGCGATCACTGATGTCATTAGATGTCGAAAACTGAATGCATGTGGATTTTCTTCGTTTTATCCTTGCTGATGTAACCAAAGGATATTGTAACTCTTGATTTGAAAGTCCTCTTTTCCGTTTCTTGGAATGCCGCCTGTTCAGACCCATGGGTGACTTCGTCTCGTTTCTTAAGAGAAAGAAAGTTTATCTCATATCGATCTCGCGGTCATTTGTCTACAGATATTACAGTGGTTGTTTCCTCAGATGGAATTGTAGCTGAAGCCATAGCTCTCTCTTGTTTTTAACTTTTTCCTTTTCTTTCTCAGAAGTTTTTCTTTCAATCATTTTGCTAATAGCCACTTCGCTGACGCTTACGTCTTCTCTTACGGAAACGTTGTAACTTCTTACTTCCATGGCATTTTTGCTTCGACGTTGCTGCGGTCATTTGAATCACAGATAGTACAACTGATCCAGAAGGAGGACCGTAAGTATCCATATTTGTAGCTCTCGAGTTGATATCGATAACTGTTGAAGAAAACTATAGAGTAGACGTGAAAATCTGAAACGAAATGTAAACAACTTAATTACAGATCAAATCAGCCTTATCGAAAGATGAGAAATATGACGAGGAATTTTGAGTTTGAAAAAAAATAGTTCTGTTTTTGTGACTATAAACACAAAACTCGAGCTTTGAAGTGATGGATACATGTGATTCGCTGGCACGTCGTTCGATCAAGTCAATCATAGATGGAGCTAATCTTTGTCAGCTGGAAGTGACCGTTGATCTTTCCACATTTGCTCTATGCCATCGCTGTGCTCCTGTTGATAGCGCTACATCTGAGTCGTGGCGGCACTAACATAGAGGTTGCACATGTCCGTTCTCGATTGCTCGATTGCTTGTTTGTATTCGCTGTACAGCTGTTTTCTAAGATCTTCATGATCGAGAGAATCAAACAAAGGCGTGATATCGGCAGGCTGTCAAACAGTGAAAGCGAATTATAACACGGAATTCGTTTTTTCAGCCGTTCTAACTCATATTTAGTCAGTTCGTGCTACTGTCGAGCTAGACAGAATCGATTGGCGAGCTCCATCTGGAGATGGGAACGAAGCAATAGGAACGTATCCCTTTCTTGATTACATTACTTGAACTGGGTTGGTGTTGTAGATACTGCAGTTCCACAATCCGTTCATCATATTCGAAACGTAACAGCTGTATTTTATGTTCGATTTCGAGACGCAAATCAGCTAGAGTCTCTTCAATAAACGTCTCAAGCGTTTGTCGAATGATGAGAAAATCGTTAGGTAAATGTCTTATTGGATCGTGCAGATAAGTTTGCGACTGTTCGGTTTCCTTTCCTAATACACCAAGACGTTTCTTGACAAGGTCATGGCAAGCATCCTCCTCTTGGACAGCGAAACGAATATCCGTTTTCACCATCGCCTTGACAGATCTCGGTCATAAGTTTAGCTGTAGTTGATTTAAGTGATACTGTGTTTCGGGTTTGCCCAAGCCGGATCGCAAATAAACAGTCCAAAGTGAATGCAAAATCTCATTGTATCTAATCTAACATGCATGTAAATGGCCACTTGTCGAACATGTTCGCGTTTGCTAGTTGTGATTGTATTCTTCGGCAAGGTGGAATCGAGAAATACTTCGAAGGGTTCACTTGTTTTAGACAAGTACTCGCGACAATGCTCGATGGCAGCCATGTCGACATTGGTCGATATTAGCGTCAATGGAATTTTCGAACGTGTAGACAACTGACTAAGTTTTTGAGACAATTCACGTTCTTCTTCGATACGCTAAAAAGACGGAAAATAGAGAGGAAAGCGGGAAACTCACACAAGTTACTTTTAATTGCGATCTATGCGCGGTTCGAGTTAAGCATGGTAATATTGACTCATTCCTGTTCATACTTTCGATATCATCATCGTCACTCATCGAATCCGTCGGTTCATCTACATCTAATTGCTTTCGGGCAAAGATATGATTGATATCATAATCTTGCTTGAGTGCATGGTCACGGTCATCGTCGTCATAATCAGATTCAATGAGTACATCAGTGACGCTTTGATTGAAATTGTTGTGCTACGAGAAAACACAATGCTACGTGGTCACTGTCATATATGTTTGTTACCTGTTGATTAGCCTTTCCGTTTGAACGAATCATAGCTTTCGACTATGCTGATGTACAGTAAATACATTTTAAATTAAGTTGATATCTAGAAAATTCAAAGACAATCACGGTACAGGAATCCAATTCGAAAGAAAAAACGATGTCACCAAAATGATTTGGCAATCTTAGAACAATGAGTGAAAGAATCGAAGCTATAGTACTACACACGACTCGATCATGAACAAATAAACAAACGGTGCCTATAGATCATCCTTGATGAAGGAAAGACGAAGATACACTAGCAAAATTGATAATTTGTTGAGAGCGTTGTTCAATATTGAGCAGACGTGTATCAAAAATGGCGCTCATAGAAGGATCCATGTATAGCACTGCCAAGAGCAGATTCTCTTGATAGTGACGATGCTCTTCTTGGTTGACTGCATCTTCGTATTGAATCTTTGTTGAGGGATCGCTTTGAAAGATTGGTTGAGTCGTGGCTTGCTCGACAAGGAATGAAGAATTCTTAGGTCCACGGATAGCTCGCTTATTAGATTTGGTTTTGCCTTTCCAAATGTTCTGTGCAGACGAGCTCTATGACCAGACAAAAATGGTGATCGTTGAGATCAGAATATCGGCTAAACGAATACAAACCTGCTCGTCAGTGGGATTCAAACCATAGAATGATGGCACCAGATATACGTCGTTCACATCAAACTGCAGTATGACCTTCTTGTGTTCGAACTTGCTATGCAATCGATGTAGATTGTTTCGAATCAGTGCAGATAGAGCGTGTTCAAGAATTTCCATTGAATCTTCTGGCAATATAGTCTTTGTTGTTTAACAGTATTCAAGTCAGTCCGTGCCCAGTGTAGTTTGTTTTCAATGATCTCTTGTCGGGTATCAAGCTCCGTTCGAGGATAATCCCAATGAATAGAATTTTTCCGTGTAACACTATGAGCTGTTGTTGATAAACAAGTTAATGCAGGCGTAGCGAAATCGACCACATGTGTCCAGTAATCTTGCTCGATTTCTAGTTGCAAAATAAGATTCAGTGTCTGGGCATTTTGTTTGACAGATCGCAGTAATTGCGCATTCGTCAGTCATCGTAAAATGTCATGATCCTTGTAAGGAATGGCCTTAGTGAGCAAATGCTTGAAGACGTGGTCAGATAGTTTGTGATATCCGGTACGAGATAGGAAGATCGCTTCCAGGAATCATTTGATAGAGTTGAACCCGTTTTCTTCTGTCGATTCACTCTTCTTGGAGGTATTTTCCATTGGTATGCTGATTCTACTGATTTCAAGAACACAGGTGGTTCATCCCCGAATACTATTGTCTGCCCTCCTTCGCGACATGGGTCCATGTTGACTAAGTTCTATGTACATGAGAAAACGTCATAATCTTCACATTTACACGTCAGTTTACCCTACCAGATCGTTGACCAATGGCATAGTCGTATTGAAGTCATTATCACATATGTCTACGTTTGCCTCTTGAACATCTGGATGAAGTGATTAGTTTGGTTGTCGAGTCGGAAATAACTTTTGAGTTGTTTGCGCATCCATTCCTCTTGCTCGACATCTACGTTTCAACCGTTGTAACCGTCGATTCCCACAATTTTTCTTCTTCTTAGCATTGAAAAGGATCTCTTGTTTTTCAATACAGAACGAAGAATTCTGTGTGTTTTCATTCATATCCATTGTCGATTGAAACTAAGGTAGGAATGAATCGATCTGAAAATAACGCTGTGAGAATCTGAATGTCTTCCAGGAGGAAACATGAAAAACGAAAAAAAATATAACACATATATTTCGATTGTTCTTAGTTATCAAGCAAGACGACTGGTCGATTGATGACCACGGTCAAAACATACTCTAATTCGGGGTCTTCATCTTGGGGGATCCACCGAATGATGCGGTGATAGGGGTATTTTCTATTCGGTCGACTGAGGAAAGTTCGAACCAAGCTCTCAATATCTTCGAATAGTTCATTTTCGATTTCCATCTCGACAGGACAAGTGCGCTGGCCAATCAAAGGAGCAGGAGCCGGATCATCAGTAACAGCTCATATCAGAGTCGAGACAGCCAATGATGCCCAATCCTGAGATAAATCATCGGTCCTCTGCTGTTGCTCGTCTATTTGACTGATGTCGTCGTCATCACCATTTGGAGAAATGGTGGTTGCACCACTGTCTTGAGGGTGAGGGTGGTTGAGTTCACAAGATTATTCCAAGCTACTTACGACGATCGTTTCGAACAGGGCTTAATCTGTCCATCATCAGGTAAATTTAGAATATACACTGCATTGAATCAATTCTCAAATCAAGTAGAAAGTTATGGAAGTCAAAGACTATCCAACTACATTCTAATGCCGAGGAAGGATTCAAGGAATCGCAGAGAACCTTGGAAGGTGAGTTCACAAGGTTATTCCAAACTACTTACGACGATCGTTTCGAACAGGGCTTAATCTGTCTATCATCAGGTAAATTTAGAATATAATATAGTTGCATCGGGACGTTAATTGATTGAAAAGACTCTAACCGTCATGCAAAAGTTACGGATCTGATTCAGAATCGAGTCATCGGATGATCGTATAATAGTTGTTTTCTGGGCCGCGTCAGTTCGATCTCGAAGTAATATCAGATGCATGGTCGGCTGTTGGAGAATGGTTTATTTGTTTTCTGGTTGTGGTTTGCTATTCGATGCGTTGGAGTAGGATGGCTGCAACTCCGCCACTTGTCTGATGTGGAAATGACACGTCTGTTTCGGTTCAGTAGATATTTGCATTGTTGTCCAATTCTCGAAGTTTGGGTTGAATGGATTTGAGTCAGTTCTTGACGCACACGCTTTCTTTGAAGTAGCAGAGAGTATCTGAAAGTAAAACGGAATGAGTGTTTTTTGTTCTCAGCAACGAACGAGTTGCTCATTGAATGCCTAGTACACTGTTTATTCAATACAAAATGCGATGAAGCGTTGTGTTGGAAGAGTTTTTTATGTGTCCTAATGTTTTCCTGACTATCAATCAATCATCTGGCTGTGTTCTTCTTGCTGTAGCTGCTTTATTTTGTTGTAGTTTTGTGTTGTTGTGTTGTGATGTGCCCGGTGATGGGTCCGTCTGTTGGAGGTCTTGCATTGGCTCAATTTGAAATAAGATAGAATCAAACGAGTGTGGAGTGGAGTTGTTGTGCATGTTGCGGAGTGGTGTTTGATCGTATTCTTCAGCCATTTGATTCTTCTTCTGTTGTTCACCTTCTTCCGATGATTCGAATGCGTGTATCCGTGGTGATGGTTTCACGCAGTCTTGTACCAGGATTGGCTGTTCCATAGCAACGGTACTCTCCAATTCAAACAACTGGTCTTGTTCCTGTTGATTCTCTGGGGTCAATGTTTCCCAATCATACATCTCCAACAATCGTTCGTTCATCACCTCTGCAAAGAGGTCATAGAAGATTGGTGATCGACGCAGTGTGTGGTTGTGACGATCTCGATCTTGCTGTGTTCCTCTTTTTCGTCCTGGTTATATCGATGATCTCGTTGTTGCTGAAAATGTTGATTTGCCATTTGTCGGTATCGAATCTGGTGTGCCAGTTGTTGATGTTGATGTTGTACTCTCTGTTGCCATCTTCGTCGTGCTCGCCTGCGTCGGGATGTTCGTTGTCGAATCAGAATTTCAACTCTCGATTGATCGGAGATCAATAACGGCTGGCTTCGAGTCATATTCGGCATATTATGATCCATCGGAGGCTGACTTGTTATAACGATACCAGGCGAGATCAGTTGACTAACAGAAGCTTCGCTGTCACTGTTGCTGATCGATGGTTCTGAAGCAGTATTACCGATTTGGCTATTATTGATATTCATCCTGAAACAAATAACGGATGAGAAGACCCCTTACCCTAGTCACAATAACATTTTCCTATGATCATTACAAGGTACTTACGACGATCTTTTTCAGTTTGGTTCGAAAGCTGTTTGTTTTAAGGGCACCCCCCCCCCCTTCCCGGACATGAAAATTAAAAAACTTTCGATTTTGAGTTTTTCATTGCTAAAGGTACTCTGAAGTTTTCTCTATCGATCTGTGTAAAGATAAAATTTTTTGAACCGCGGGTGACCTCGAAAAAAAAGATTATGTAGATCCCCTATCTCGAGAAATGCGCTTTTCCGCCTGTTTTTAGCGTATCTCGTCTTTATGATTGATTCTCTTGATGTTAGGTCATTTTTATCTTCGGCCATATAAGAATCGCATGTCAAGACGCGTGGAGCATCGTTCTACTTCAGTTCGAGATATGATGGAGATAGGTAGTTCTCGAATCTACAAGATGTATTTTTAACGTCGAAAACTTCTCTCATTCCTGTGCACTGAGTCAGTATTCTCGGAATGATGTGCTCTCTCTGTTTCATTTCCTTTCTTTTGAGTAAAAGATCTCTGACGTCGCATGACGTCGCATGAGCGCGCCGGAACTGAACGATTTTCTCTCAGCACATGCAGTCAATAACGTAACGACGACGAAGAAACTCAGATTCGCTCGGAAACGTCTTCGAAGTCAATCTAGTCAAAATTTCTTTCCGTCCGCCCATGATTATGAACCTACAGAGCCCGACGAACAGGAAGAAGAGCAGGGTGGGATGGGTGCGACTCAGGAAACACAGGATTTCGATGATGTCAATTTAATCGTTGGAATGCAGCTCTTTTTCAATCTGGCCAACCGATTTTGTTGCCCTTCGTGTCGTCGAACAGGCAAGATATCGAGCAAGGTCACTCAGCGGCGTGGTCTTCTCTATCGCATTACATTCAGTTGCGACTGTTCGTTCGAAACATCCATCTGTAATTCGACTTCGCTCGATAACCCCGTCTCGTCTCGGATGGACGAGCTGAATATGCTAGCGTGCATAACAGCAAATGTTGGTGGCATCAAGCGTACGGGAATGACACAAATTCTGGGCTGCTTGAATATTCTACATCCAGTCCAAATCGAAAGTTGGAATAAATATCAGTCGATCTACGCAAAATCTGTCGAATGTGTCACTGAAAAAAGTCTTGAAGCTGCTGGTGAGTTTTTTTTATATCTCAACATCCCGAACTTTATTTTTAATTTTCTGCAATAGGAAAAGAGGCCGCTGATCAAGCTGGGGTGCCATGCGACCATGAAGGTGTTACCAATGTAACTGGCACTGTTGATGGATCGTGGCTGACTCGTCGCGGGCATTCGAGTTTACATGGTGTGGCAACCTGCTGCTCGACAGCTGATCCACCAAAAGTTCTCGGCTACGAGGTTCTCAGTCGACACTGTTCGACATGTTCCGGTTTATTGGGCGTGAGAGAGATGGATGAGGAGGCCTACCAACGACTTCTAGCTGAACATTTCAACAGCGGCTGTGATGCTAACCATACTGGCTCCTCTGCTGGCACGGAGGCGGCAGGTAAATATCTGCCTATATTGTCTCCCTCTGCATCAAATAGGTTCGCTTTCGAAGGTATTGTCGCAGTTTTTCGTCGATCCGAGAATAAACATTTGCTTCGGTACACAACTTTCGTTGGCGATGGAGATGCAGCTAATGAACGCGCTCTTCTGGATGCTGAACCATATGGAAAGGATGTAATTATTCGGCGCCTTTAATGTATCGGACATTTTTCTAAGCGGTGAGTATTTTTCTGCTCTGCGTGTAAAGTCTCGATGATATTCGTTGTTTAGAATGCGCACCGCATTGGAGACTCTCAAGAAATCATACGAAGGAAAGAAGGTCGCCGATGGTTTACAAATTAGTGGTCGTGCGGGTCGTTTGACAGATGAAAAAATTCACCAGCTGACGACTTACTACGGCTCTGCTATTCGTTCTCACGTGCACGATTTGAAGTCTATGCAGGCTGCTTGTTGGAGTAAGTTGAGTCTATCTCTCTTCATTCTTCTTTATCCTCTATTCAAAACGCATAGGCACCTACTACCATTACAAGTCTACACGATCAAATCCTCAGCATGACTTCTGTGATCTTTCCAAGTGCTACCTTTATCGGCAGAAGTCGTTCGATCCGGCCAAACATAGTTTACCAGAAGCGGTGATGGAAGCCATACTACCGGTCTACCAAAAGATGTGCTCAGATGAGATGCTATTGAAAGTGGTCGATGGTGGCAGTACGAACGCAAATGAGTCTTTCCACAATATGATTTGGGCATCATGTCCGCATAGGATGTCGAATATAAAAAGATATTTGCTTCGTTTTTCAAACGAATATGATATATTTAGGTTTCTTTCCCGCTGTGTCGATTTATCCATAAATCAGCATTTCAATGAAGCACTGCGTAGCATAC